AGCAAATTAGCCAGGCTGGCGCCACCTAGTCCCTCTGCTCAATTTCAATTCTCTCCAGGTCAAGAACTAGGTCAGGAATTAAAATACACTAGATGGTTTGCAAAAACCCTGGAAGTGCAAGTTCAGGCACCAGCCAATCAGCGAAGAGCCATACATTCTGTGTCATCAACGATTCCCAAGATCAAGTATTTAAAGTCGGAATTTGGGAAAAGCTCAATATACCAGTTAGCCCCGTTAGCGGCACATTACACACGTGACTACCAAATAGCAGAGACTAGTTAAATCATAAAAAGTACCCGCATACCTCTAAGCAAACAAATTCTAACACTGTGAGGTCAAGCAGTTTCTATGAAGTGAAACCGGCTGATGAATCAGGCTAGCAGTAAATACCATCTGTAGTTGAATAAACGCAAGACCAGAGAGTTTAATACCATACTATGGACAATTTAAACCAACGCTTTAACATCTATATGGAGACAAACAGGTTGCGGAACCCCTCAGAGCCTCAGAGTTACTCAGAGCTCCTTTAAATATGACCTAAAGTAAGTTCATTTGTGTAAAATGTTCAATGTTCATATGCACCAACAAGTCATCACTGCACTAATACTCTGAGGGGGCTTTAAGATGTCTTTATAGTCCATATTGAAATTAAGCCCATGCAAAATAATACAAAAATGATGCTGGTGTGCAGGGCCACTTCCGGAATAAGATGAATAAGACACTTTATTCACATTTTTAACTGTGAACTATGGCCTTTGACCCATGTTTTTAAACTTTAACTTTCCCTACAATCAGTCATTTTCATCGCATACTGTCAAAATCATGCAGTGGACACCAGGATTTACTCTCAAAATGTGTAAGTCTTGTGCTGTAGCTGTCCCTTTAACCTTTTGACCACTAAGTTAAACAAATTTCATTGACTTAAATAACCCCAGATTTACTTTGTGCTCACTAAAAAGAGAAAGTCTCCAGCTGCTAATAGCCAACAGCCCTCTAAATGTGAGGGTCAGGAAAAGCTGTGCTCCTCTTTCCTGTCTAATTATAGAGCTACAGCTTCAGACAAGTCGTCATCCCTAAATGACTAAATTGGTTGTTTGGTTTTGGTGCTGAAAAAATAGTATGCAATTTATGACCTACAGTATGTTTGCGAAGTTGAAAAGCTGTGGGAAAAATGTCAAGCTATTTTCTTTGGAAGGTTGTCTGAGATCTTAAGCAAATCAACACAAGAGAGGAAGAAGTACTCAAAACGTATCCGCTTATAGCAGTAGCATACCACGTAAATGGTAAATAGTCACATTATACAGCACTTCTTTCATTCATCTTTTGGTTTAGTAGACCAATGCTTTAATCACTGTTTTCTGAATCCAACATTTTATGGGTTATATTATATACAACAGATCAAGTGTCATTTAGGTCTATCATGATAATTATTAATAAGATAAGAGCTGAGATGTAGAGAGTAGAATAAATAATTTCTATTGCTAATTATTGGTTCATTCTGCTATTTATTTGTAGCAGCTTATGCCTTTTGATGACAGAGTATATTTAAATATGCTTTACTAAGATTATCCTGCTTTGTATCTGTGGCACAAAGTAGTTTCAGTATTATCGTTTATCACAATATTTCTCTGCAGCTATATCGTGCTTCAAAATTTGTTATTGTGGCAAGCCAAGTATCATTTAAATTTTCTCTGACTGCCTGTTTTCATTGTTGCTGGAATTGTCCACAATATATTGCTGGGGAAAAAATGAATGCAAAATATCGTACAAAGCAAGGCATCGTAATACAAATTCACAAACATAAACAAGAGGCAGCCATATCCTATGAATACAACAAAGGCTCCATGTCCATCCATTTTACCAAACAGAAATTCAAAAAAGCCAGGCAGCTGCTGTGACAAATTGTTCTGGGGAAGGATTCAGCATGTGGCAACACCCTCCCAGCTCCTCTCCTCCCCACATCCACCTGTCCGTCCTCTCCTCTCCCTTTGCCCTCTCTCCCCGAGCCTCGCTGTGTGTTACGAATTCATCCACGGATAAAGCTGATCTATCATTCTGTCACGGAGGCAGGGGAGGGAGGTAGACTGTGGAATGCCCTGGCACAGAGCAGGGATGGGCTACGCTTCCATGCACATCCCCCCAAACCTCCCCAAAGCTCCATGACCTCCGCAATGCTCAAGTGCCCGCTCAATCCTCACTCACCTGGCTGTACCTGCCTGTAAGCTCTGTGCCTGAGCAGCTCAGAGCGGAGAATAACACGCACCGAAGCTTTAACCGGGGATCCCAGCAGCAGCAGCAGTTGTGATTTGGCTTGGCTTGACTGACTTTCGCCCAATGCTCTATACTTACAATGAATAACACCAGACCTGCCAATCAGATAGGGGACAAATTGCAGGACATGTGCGCAACAGCAGACAGTGGAGTCAATAGGGCCAGCCTTTGGGCCCACTTGAGCCAAAACAACCAGATTTACTGCACTGATATGTCTGTATCCAACACATTCCAGCCGCTGGAACAAAAACACAGGGAGCTCAAATGTGGCTCCAAGAGTTGAGCAATATGTCAAAGTATATGCCAAGTCCTGCTCACCACACATAGCATTACTCAAAAACATATAAAAAACACACATACATTTTTGTCCCATATGTCTGGGCACGCATAGTTGACCCACTAAACTCGGAATATAATATAACTTGGTGTCTGATCCATTTGTTTGCTCATCTTTTTGCAGTTTAAACAGGACAAAGTGCAGCATTATGCAATTTTCTTGTGTCGACTTGGACAATTTCTAGCGCCAAGATCTTCAAAAGTCTTTTAAGTGTATTCATCCTGATAATTTTGCTAAGCCTCAATCACATGCACATTCTTGTCTCAATGAATGTGCCTAGTGTGAGTCTACCTAATTAATGAGGAAAAGCAAACCATGCCTATAAAACATTCTGGTTTTACAAAGCCAAAGCTTGTGCTACATTCTATTTAATATGTACACATCATTTTTTGCCTGGCTGGCGGCTGGGCTTCCTTATTTCTATTGGCTGAGTAGGAGCGCGCCACAGCTTGCAGCAGTATTGAACTTTGGCTGCTATTGTGATCACTGGGCTGTGGTCAGCGCTGTGGTGTGTGCGCTTTGCCCAACGCGAGCCATTCAAAACGATCGGTTTCACAGCATTGCGGTGCTGTTGTCACTTTGTGTGTGGAAACCTTTTACGGCTTATTTAAGTTTCTCAGAGCTACACCGGGAGAGAGCGAACAAATATTTTAACTTCAAATATCCAGATCCAGACCTGAATTTATTGTTGTAGTTAGACGTGATTGTTGTGGTAACAAATTTTGAAGTGTGATATATTGCTGAAGTAAATATATATGATAAATGATAATACTGAAACTAATTAATGCCACTTGCAAAGTAACCCAAGAACAGATTTAAACCACAAAAACTATTCTAAATGTACAATATTGTAAAAAAAAAAAAAAAAAAAAACTAGAGCTGCAATAAATAAACAGCAGAATTAAACACTTTAGTACTTAGTCTGCATCTATAATGAGTCATAGAAGTTACTAATTAAAAGTTTTATGGCTTAAATCATAACGTATAGTCAAAAAAATGCACACAAAAAAATCCCAGTAGTGCAAAGAAAATGCACTCCTAATAAATACTGACCCCCAATAAATATTCTTCCTGCTTTCATATACGGAACAATAAGCTGATATAGTAATTATCATGACAGGCCTAGTGACCACCAGAAGTGGATATTGTTGCCTGAAATGTTCAACAGTATTGTACAGTAGCTTGCCTCTATAGAGATCTGATCTGTAACTTGACCTGATTGTACCTGATAGTCTCCATCGAGAAAAATATGTTTAGTGCCATATTGTGCATGAAATATTCTTGGGAAAGTGACAGCATTGTGGAGACAAGCTGGTGGCCTACACTCCTCCAGAAAAGTTACACATTACATCTTTAGCTTATAAATGTTTGATGACTTCTTTTGAATATTACAAGTTTTATGTCCAGTTCAGTATATTTCCATGTCTTCCCTGCTGTTTGATGCTCCTTCCCCTTTGCTCTTATAGACAGAGGAGCTGCTTGGTGGGAGTGTGTTGTCTTGGTGCCAGGGCAGAAATAGACAGTAAATTACAGGGTCGTCTTAGAGCACCCCGCTGTGCTGCATGACCTCAAAATAACACACACGCACACACACATACAGGCTCCAATACAAATGTGACATCCATGCACTGCCCTACTTCTCTGGCCTGTTGATGTGGCGATCACACAGAAAGTTTGGCCCCTCAGTTTGGGTCTCAAGTAAAGGCTCAATAATAGAAGCAATACCAAAAGAAAATTGAATTCTGTCAACAGGACAAAAGTTTGAATATAAGAGTGAATATATTTTGCCCCTCATCCAAAAAGATTCTTCAATTCTGACAAGGTTAAATCACTGCCTTAAATATGAGTCCCGATGGAGGAGCTAACTAAACTGAAGATACCTAGTTTTTTTACAGAAATAAATATCTGATATTAGTTAAGTCCATTAAACTACCCTGAGGAGTGAACTGTCACCTCAGTCATATTGTGACTTTCGTGCCCCTAATGAGTCATTTTGTTCCTATTCGCATATCCTAACTTGTGTCCATTTAACAGATTTACATTTTCTTCTGCTATGGACCCTAACTGGACAAAAGAGGGATTACATAAACAACAGATGTGATAGTCATTTTAAGTTCAACTGAGCTCATCCAGGCACACACACACGCCAATGATCCCAAAACTATTTATACAGAAATGTTTTCAACTCCTTGCCATGGTTTCCAGTTACTATCACACATAACAGCCATTCTTGGTGATCCACAGTTGTGTAACAAAACCAGCTATTGCGCCTAAGCCCGTGACAGTGAACCACTTGAAAGAGATGTCATTTCAAACAATGGCTGTCAGTGCAGCGTGTAGTGAGCAGAAAAAGACATGCTGAATGAGAGTCACAGGTGCGTGTCAGGCTCACCTTGAGGGAGTCAAAGCAGGCGATGACTCGGCCGTTCTCCACTTGACAGCTTTTGGCCGGGTGAGCGAACTTGCACTCGCTGTCCGGCCGTGAACACGTCCCTCTCTGGAACTCCCGACAGACCTCCAACGTCAGCCATTTTGTGTCCCTGATGGGTGTCACGTTCACCGCCATTTTGGAGCAGGCAGGCCGGGTCGATTAGGAGTAAGAGATATTTGTGTGTATGCTTCGAAAGACACTGGGACAAGTGAGATGGGATAAGGAAATGACATGGGCTGGTTTTTAAGATGGTGTAGTCCCTGGTGTGCGACTGGAGTGAAGCCGGTTAGGCCTCTGGCTCACCTACCACCTGTGGCCCATGCTAGGTGTGTACTGGAAGTGAGTGCCCGTCACCCTGGGCCTAAGCCGGGGACAGCCACAGGGTTAGCTTAGCAGCCTCAGTGTCTATTTCCTTAACTTGTATGAGCAGCACACAAAGTTTCTTTACAGCCAAAGCACAATTGTCAGATGAAATGAATGGCAAAAGATGTTATCGATTACACTGATCCATGATGAAAAGATTTAGAGAAAAGAGGGTCAGGGAGGCTGGACACTGAAGAGAAGTTGTTCCTCTCACAGGAGCTAATAAAAGCCTTTCGTATTAGGCTGTGTGCTGAGGGAGGAGTGCTAGTTTCCACAGACGAGGGCTGAGTGGCGTAGATGGAGAGCAGGATGGCTGACAGATTGGTAGAATACTGTCTCAGCGGCTGAAGCTGGCAGTCCGGGTTCTCCTGGTTTGGCCGGAGATTGGGTCCAGACACTCGCAGGCACAGAGGCAGGGGCGGCTTCAGGAGGGCCACACCGCCGGGGGCTCAGCCAAACAAAGGCACTTCTCTCTGTGAAAAAAAAAAGCATGAACAGTGTTAGTGGAGCACATGCCAAAATACACATTTGAATGTGTAGACAGAGTTCCATCAGACTGTCTTTTTCATTCATTCTCCTCCCAAACATCCTCCTCCTCCCTCCCCACTGCGGCCCTCACACAGACTGCCAGTATCTCAGCTGGAAAATCAAATCAAACACAATATCGCTAACAGTAGAGCTCGCGCTCTCAGCCGTGGACAATTTATTTAAGGGGAAGACAGTGAGGAAAAAGAGAGATCAAGGGACAGGGAAAAAGACCTCATCTGGAGAATCACATGATACAGTATTGTAGAAACAGCTGTATACACGGTACAAGGTTTTAATAAGGTGTGAAACAGGCAGTTATCTACAATAAATACAATGGTCCATTGTTCATTAATGGTTCATTTTTAAAAATACATGCAAAAATTATCAAGAAGTTGATGAGGTTAAAAGTATGGGTTTCCCTTCTCTATACTTAGATAACATAATGAATTTTGTTAATCTAAAGCCTAAATGAGCAAGTGTTTTAGAGTATCGATCAATGATCCATCAGGCCTGGCGAAATGGTAAGTGGCTGATCAGTTTGCTGTTAGTCTGGCGTCACTTGGCAGGTGGCCAGGTGAGACAAGACACAGATCAGACCATCACTCAATCACTGCCCAGGGAGAGGCAGCCAGGCGCAGCTCCTGTCAACCCCTCCTCCCTCTGCTCATTCTACAGCTGTATTAGGTTCTACATCACAAATACCTACACAAATGTGAACATATATTAAGTGTACAGAAAAAAGTTATAAGATACTTTGTTCAAGGGCACATAACAAGACTGAAATGAATATGAATACAGTAACAATGATGTTTTTACTTTACATTTTACACTGTGTGTCACCTTTAGAATTGCTGTTTGGAAAAAGCCTGGGCATTCAACGAAGAAATGAGCCATGAAGAGAAGGTGAGACGGCACAAGAAAGAGGTAAAAATAGTGCTTTGGTCAAACAGTGATTGCTTCTGTGTCATGCTCCTGCTCCCATTTGGCCCAGTCACATCTGTGTGCACTACTTTCACACATCCAACATGATATTCTGGGTAGACCATATGTGTAAAACAACATGCCAAAGAGGCCACAGTCTCTAACAGTCTTCTTCACGGAGGTCATCCTTTTTACTGTGTACATTGACAGCTGACAAATTTTTTCCTTATATTCTTATGTATTCTCAATATAAAGGTATTGTGCTCATTTAATAATAGAAACCATTGGAACTCATATTGGCAATACAACTTGGTATACAACTGCATACAAACTTTTAAAAATACTCCATTTTATGCAAGTGGTAGCAGTGGCAAAGTTTCTACATTTAATGGGTTCTAGAAACGTGAGTTACATTTTGCTGAAACAACTGCAATTGTTGTCAAGAAAAAAAGAAAATGCAGAGTTTTAAAAATTCCAGAAGTTCAGAGCTTTGGAGGAATATAGTATATAAATAAAGGAGTCATCAATAAGCATCTTAGCATGTGTGAATAATGTATGTGGCCATTTCCCGTTGCCAGGGGCTGGAGATATTATTACACCATCCGATCAACTCGCCAAGGTAATAAGTAGGAGAGGAAAAAAGGCCTGGCACATTAGGAGCCCCCCAATTCACAACCCCCACACATCATACACACATATATACACAAAGAAGAAAGACGGTGTAGTTAAATGTCTCACTACATGTAACAGCAGCTGTGTAACCAGGGTTCAAGTAACTCCTCGTTTAAAATAAGCCACATGAGAGAGTGCTAATGTGTCAGCTAAAACAGGCACTTGTTTGCAGTCTGGATTAGCTCATGCTCAGTGGAACCTTACAGGGATTGGAAAAGTACCTGCAATAACAAGACTACCACAACATAAACGTGATGATGGCAATGTATAGTTAAAGGCACATGCTTTCTGCATACTTTCTGACAGTTGAATGAGGTAAAACTAATAAGTCATAATAACTGAAATTGAAAGCAATCATTTGTGCGTTTGTTTCTGTATTTCCTTTCATTCAAATGTGTTTTATTACAAATCTGGTAAGTCTGTGAACAAGATTCTGTGTTAGTCAAGCATCTTTCATTATCAAAAGTCTGATTTAAAAATCAGTTCTGGTTCATTTATGACCTAATTTTGGAGCATGGAGCTTGCACACAAAACACTTGGGAAATCTGTGAAATTTTGAAAATGGTCAAATGTATAACTGTATATACAAACTGCATAGCCTATGTGTTAAGAGGCAATATGGCAAAATTTTCTTAATGCAATGACTACAAAAAGGCAGTGTGAGAGGATTTCAGTTATCAGCAACACCTTGGGGAAACCCGATCAGTAGTGTTTAAGTTTGTGCACCAGTTCAAAGATCACACTATAGGCAATGACCTTTAAGAGAAAATAAAGTGAAAATGCAGAGAAAGAGGAAGAGAGAAGAGTCAGTAACACAAGAGGTGAAAGGGCGCTAACTGCTGCAGCAAAAAGCAGATGTCTGGAAGCCTCATATTACACTGCATCAATGGCTGACCAGGATATCAGTGATGACCTGGACTGCCCTAGTCACCGCCAGCAGCAGCAAGAGGGAAACTGTGGTACACAAATACAACCGTGAAGAGGTGGTGACAAAAAAGTGGAAGACACTGGAGGAAGACTGATAGCAGGTTAGCAAGGGTAATTAGCAGCTGAGTAGTTGAGAGACAGGGTTAGGTGAGACTGTGGTAGAACTGTCAGGTATTAAGATAAAGAGTGAAAAGCTAGATTTAGTTTCCATTTAAAAGTGTGGATCGTGCTCCAATTCACCCTGTCAGAAGAACAAATTTTAAGTGTAACAATCCTGCAGAAAATAAACAATAACTGATCATATTTAAACTGCTTAAAGATTATTCCATTAAACCTTCACAGTAGGGCATTAAACATATCTTGCATATATTCAAATATAGATAATTTTATTGCTTTATTTTTTAATTCACTGAAAAAGTTGTATTCATCAAGTTAGACCTGTAACTTGGCGTGGTACAGATAAGTTTAATGCCATACTGTGGATCTTTCTAGGCAAAAGCAATAACATGGAGACAAGTGATGGACCTTTCACCAGAAATGTCAGAGATGAAAATGACATGAAATTATGAGATTTCCAAAAAAGTTCCCCACTAGGGCAAAGAAATAGAATGATACACACACTAAATATTTAGCCCCAAAAACATTGTTCCATCTTTCATTCATTGAACGATAAGTTAATGATAAGTATCCCCCATCATTTATCATGCACCAATCCGTCACACGTGTTCAGTATTATTTGCATGCTAGTTGAGTCGTCCTTTGTTCTTTCTTCTCTCTTTCTGAAAATCTGCTTATGCTAACTATCATGTCTCCCAAACAACTAGGTGACTATGTCTTCTCTTTTAATAGTAAGTGTCCAGATTTTATTGGTCCACACACAGCCTCCCCCTCCATATCTCTTCCACTGGCTCTATCTCCGCTTTTGTTCCTTGTTCACACAACACCTTATGCTGCAGTAGCACGCTAATGTGCTGCAAGGTCATCATCTCCACAGCAACCAGAAATGTCTGTTTAAAGCAAGGACAAAGTGCTCAGTGGTGTCAGGCCTGGCATCATGGCTCACTGATACAGAGGTAAATTACATAAAAGCTAAGTTAGCGCTTTAGAAATAAGATGTTTCATTGTGTTCTATTGTACAAATTACATAAATATATAGTAGTGCAACACTCACTTACACTATGAAGGTCTGACACCATAACAAAATACAGTTTAGCTCCAGTTCAAAGGGAATTAGAACAATAGCAACAGTAAATTAGCTGTAAGCTTCTAAATCATCTAGTAATGGACTATTTAGCAAAACAAATGGGGAATTTAAATGAGTGGCAGGCCTGCTAAAAACTCTGGATTAGTTATGTAATACACAAAGCCATTGCAACATGGGATAAGCATAAATACTTTGTATTCATATATGAACAGAATTGAAGATATCATACGCACAGTGAGGCGTGACTTGGTGCAAAGACCTCCTGTCTGTTTTATAGGCCATAAAATATGGACATAAACCTGGAAGGCAAGGACTATGCAGCCATTGCATTAGCCGATAACATTTTATTTTAAACTGTATCTTCAATTTTTGTAGTCTTGTCTTCCATATTACTATTAAAATCTTTAGACAGACCTTTTTTCTGGTAAATCATTATTTTACCTCTTGTTGTCTAAAGCAAGTTAAATGAGTCCATTGATTTCTGGTTGAAAAGCACAGAACTGATTCTCTTCTGCACTGGTGTTTCAAATAGAATTGCCCAAACATGCATAAATATGTAAAGCTATTTTTGCATAATATATCCACTTTAAATAACTTCAATATAAAACTGTGTCATTACCTTCATATATCAGAAAAAATGTGCTTCTTGAACTCAGGTTAAGTGATTTGATATCATATTTTTGTGCCCCGATAGCCCATTAAAGACATGGTAATCTCATACTTCCTTGCATAACACATACTGATACAGGGTATTAGCACTGACCGCAAACTATGAGACAGCACTTCTAGAAACAGCACTGTACGAATGACTGGAAGGTCAGTTGGAACTCTCGTTGGTATTCGTGGCGCAGTTGTATTCATGTTACGTATGGATTTGCACCGCCTTGTTCACTGCACACTTTCGGGTCCTGCATATAAGCAACTACAGCACAATGTATGTCTGGCTTCTTCAGCGCTAAGACAAACAGTGGGAGGAGGGGTGAGGAGGGGGGAGACAACAGGGGCAGTCAAGTGGCACGTGTGCAAGCTGTCGTCTGCTCCATGATATCAGCACAAGTGTTTAAACAGCCCTACGCGCACATACGGACAGGAGGAGAAGCAGTTATAGGCAGTGTCTGTAGGGAGTTGAGATAATATATGTTTACATTCACGGCGGTGGATTCATTTGTGCATGCTAATCAGCCAGTAATTACATCCAGTTGGGTTGTAAGCTTGATAAAA